TTTCAATTAGTAAGTTCTAATGATATACACATCGTTCGTCCCTTTTGTCTCTTAATTAATCGGCCAACGATCCGACGTCCGCTAGGAATACACATATTTGAAATAGCACGAGGCCCGATTAATAATCGTAAGGCAACCTCAGCTTATTTAAATCGTTGCACGAATCTGAAGTCCATTTCGAACAGTCTCACGCAATGACTCCTCGAGGTTGGTCCATTTTTTCGTCTTTTTCATTCTATTATTTTCTCTCTTTCACACACGCACACGTACACACATATACATATTCGCAAACCTACGCAAATACACGCACGCACGCAAGCGCACACGCACAAACGCATACTTTCTCTCTCTCTCTCTCCCTTTTTATTTTTTTATTTTTTATAATCTGCCCTTTAAACGGACACTTGTTCACGTACATGTATCACTATTACTATTACTACTTGAGACTAAATAAATATGTTACAAGAGTTTTCTTTTTTTTTTTGTTTCGTTTCATAGTTTCTCTACACGTTTCTTCATTTTTCTCGAATATAATAATATTAATAATAATAAAATAATAATAATCCTTCCGCCCCCCTCCATCTCTCCCACACCCTTAAAAACCCCAACCTCGATTCCGCTTCAATACTATTACTTCCCTTCTCTCTCTTTATTTCTCTTTCCATTTTTTATATGCTCTCTTAACATAAATGTAAAAACGTATATCTCTTTCAGCTCGCAGATTTTACGTTTGTGGTTTATGGCACTCGTTTAAATGGCTGGACTTTAAACCAATCCCCGTTGATTATGTGTAAGTGTGGTATATACCGTATACGTTTTAATCCTGCTTACACGTATATCTTTTTATCCGTGTAAACAACACATCATGTTTTTACATATGTGTGTATATGTATGTATGTATATGTGTGTGTACTTTGGCTGTCTGGTTTTCACAAAGATATCGTCTTTCGTTCGATCAGGAACGAGATATTTGATAGCAGTGATCGAGACTAACCGGGTGCTTACTAAGAACGACGAGCAAACTTGAAAGCATGCAAACAACGGGGATAGAGAATCTTCATGACTAACTATCGATTCACTTACTACTTCTCTATGGAATGCTACTATTATATTTGATTCTTTTTATCTTCTTCTTCTTTTTTATTCTCGCGCGCGTTCGTTCGTTCGTTCGTTTGTTCATTTATTCGTCCGTTTTTTCCTTTTTTTGTTTCTTTTTTAGATATATATATTTGTTTCAAGGATAATTAAACAAAAAGTAAAGGGGAGGGTTTTTTCCAGCAAACGCGTTATGGTTTCATGGGGGGAACACGGGACAATTTTGAATTGTTTTCTCCACCTTTGTTCTTTTCTTTTCTTTCCTCTCAAATACGGAACCGAAATTACAGATTATTAACCCTTTTTTGGTCATAACATAACGCGTCGTTAGGATTATTTTTAAATGTAAACCCTCTTGATCTGACGCATACAATTTTCCAGAGATCGAAAACGAGAGAAGGAAAAAATGGAAGAAAAAAAGGAAAGAAAAACGATACTTGTAAGACACTTTTTTACGATTACACGTACGCGCGTCATTTATGTATACGTATGCAATTATATGAATAATAGTTTTGCATAAAGAGTTTTGTTAAAAATCGAAAATGGAGTTTACCAGGGTTACACCCGCAACATTTTACGCGATAATAATTAGTCTGCTAATTATAAAATACATATTCGTCTATATCTATGTGTGGTGCGTACGCGTTTATAAAAATTGCAAAGTACTTTGATCAACGATACGAAGTATAGTATTATTAATTTGCTCTTGCATTTCTTTACTTTTCTCTTTTCTTTTCTTTTTTTCTTTTTTTTTTTCACAAGATCATCCTTCAGAAACCACCAGCTCAAGAACAGTCCATAACGTGATCGAAGTCGAATAAATTCTATTATCGATTTTATCGGTCATTTCGTAGCAGCCGTCTGTTTCCTCGCTTTTTTTTTTAAATTATCTGTCTTTATTCTTTCTTCTTTTTATATATTTTTTTTTTTTCATTTTTTTTTTCGCGTCTGTGTAAATTTAATTTATAATATCCGGGTATATAATTGCCATAATTGGGATCATTGGGTTTGTCTAATCTAAACGAGACCAAAATTAATTAATCAGAAATAATTAATACTTTTATAAATATGCTCATATTTCTCTTTCATTTGTCTTCCTTTCTTTCGTTTCTTTTTTACAAAAACGATTTCTCGATTCATCGGTTGTTACCCTATCGACTCTGATGATTCACTCAGTTATTTTCAAGATATTATTTTCATTTTTTTTTTTCATGTCAAATTATTGTTTAATAACAAAATAATTAATTATTTTGATGTGAGACGATTCAAAGCTTCTCAATATTTTTAATATTGGCAGAAATTTAAACAGAAATAATATATTCCTGAATGCGAAAAAGATTTGACAATTCATTCATTCAGAATTAGTTTGACACAACACTACAGGTGTAATATGTAAATGAGTATACATATGATAATGAATCGTGATATGAATATTTGCGAAAAAAATTTGAGAAGCTCTGTTATTATTTAATTGAATTAATCGGAAGCCATTCGCAAGCTAATCGAAATTTTTTTCAGCAATAATATCTGTTAAATACATCGTACGATTTATTTATTGATCTTTTATCATCTATCTGGATATTTGATTAAGGCACTAACATTTACAAATATGTAATCAACGATAACAGTTTCTATTTATTAACGATAAAATTTTCTATACTTGCGATCGATTTCCGATTATTTTCATTTTTACTTTATTTTTCTCTTTCTCTTTCTCTCTCTCTCTCTTTCTGGCGCCGAATTCGTGATTTTAACTTTCCTTTGAAATTTCGTTGTTTAAAAACAGTAATTTTTGTCTAAGGCACGATCCTACGAGTTTTATATTTATTTATTGTTCATCCTTTCCTTTTTTTCCCCGTTTTCTTTCATTTTCGTTCGTCAATATGGAAAAAAAAACCCCTGAAGGCACCCAAGCGTGGTTTCGTTTCAGCGATTTTAATTGTTTTTTTTTTTTCAATAGGTATAATATTTACGCGTATCATCTACGTTTTTTTTTCTACGTTTTACATCGTCAAAAAAATATTTTCTTTCATTTACTTTTTTCTTCTTCTACTAATTAATTAAATCTTCGTTTATTTCTAATCACACGATACTTAAACGCGTTGTATTTTAAAAAATCAATGTCGTACGTTTGCTTTGCAATTCGTCGATATATATATATATATATAAATTTTTTTATTTGTTTCTCGAATATTGTAATAATAATAATAATAAAAAAAGAAATAAAAACAAAAAAAAATAAATTAAAATGTTTCCATTGAATTTTATTCGATCTGTGTGCTATATATATATAATCGAAATAAATATATTATAAAATAATAGAAATAATAATAATAATAATAATAACACAATAATAATAAAATTTAGAATTCAAACAAATTAGATGCATCTGCACGAAGAATCAATATCCGAATAATCTGATTAGTCGATAGCCCGATCGATGAGAAGAATTCAAACTGGTATCGTATGAAAATTTAATAACAAATTCTTTCTTACTCTCTCTCTCTCTCTCTATCGTTTTCTGTTTGTCTCTTTCTGTGTATAATATATATATATATATATTAGAATTTAAAAAAAAAGAATTCACAGGATCCGTTCAACCGTCTCGTTCGAGCATTCACCGGGAATAAAATCACGAAAAATCCTTTACTATTTTTAAATACATCACCGAATGATATTCAATTATTCGCATAATTTATAAAATACATAATACATTATACATACACATAATAATAATAATAAAAAAAAATAATATATCAAACAATTTCTTTATCCAATAATTTTCACTTATATTTCTGTTTCTTGGCATTGATTATTTTTTCCTTTTTTCGAGTATATTTCCCGATATACTTTTGTCATTTATTTAAATGTTTCTTCACACACACATTTTTGTGTTCTCTATATATATATATATATTTATTATCCTTACGTTTATCTTTATATCCTTTAACCCTTTCGTTACTAACCGATTATAGGGGTCGTACCATGAAACGATACTCGTGCAAGATCTTTCGTAATTACGAACGATATTTGTATCAAAGCATGTTAAAAAGAAAGGGTTAAATGTGTGTTATATATATCTTTTTTTTTTATATCGTAACTTCGTCACGTTAACGAGTTTAAAAAGAATCCTTGCCATCTCTCTCTCTCTCTTTCGCCTTTTAGTTGTTGTAAGTTTGCATTTCTTTTTATTATTTTAATATTTTCGCTAACGCGATCCTTTAGTTTGTCGTTACTTTTTCTCATTCTCTATTTTTTTTGTCTGTCTCTTTCGTTCTCTTTCACACACGCACACACACACACGTTCTATCTTTTTCCCTCTCTCTCTCTCTCTCTCTCTCTCTCTCTCTCTCTCTCTCTCTCTCTCTCTTTCTTTCATTCTCTTTCACACATCTCAGCTGGCAGTCTTTTTGTTAACTATCAGTTCAACAATACTGTTTGTAATACGATTATTAAAAATGCACGTACCCTCCTGAATCGTGGCTCGCGGACCTAAATGATTTTTATATATACATGCACACATTCATACTTATATATATATATATATATAATAAATTTTCCATTTAGTACGTCTCGATATTTCTTTTTTTTTTTTGCAAAAACCCTTACGAGACTGCGGATCGTTTTGACGAAAATGAAAATAATAATAATAATAATAATAATAATAATAATAATAATAATAATCATAATCATAATTATAATCTTAATAAAATACTAATAAAATACTAATAATAATAATAATAATGAAAAATAACGCGAAATAGGCTGAATAACGAAATATGTACGTGTAGTTGTATGCGTGTTTCAATTTTTCATTCGCTACGAACAACGCAGTTTTAATGGGATTTGCCTTATTCTTTGGTTTCGGAACATTTTTATTATATATATATATGTATATATGTGTATATATATTTTTTATTTTTTTTTTTTTATTTATATAATCGCGAGCACACATAGCCGATTTATTTTCCATTTAATCCTTACCCTAGACAACACGCTTCTTCTTATAAAAGGAAATATTTTGATACTCGATGTTTAGTCTATCGATTCTTATCGTTGATTTTATTCGAGTCAACTTCTTCTTCTTCTTCTTCTTCTTCCTCGTCTTCTCCTTCTTCTTCTTCTTTTTCGTCAGTCCTCTCGATTAATATTTACATAAAATGGTATATATGTAAATATATGTGTGTCTGAAGATAAGGAGTTCTCTAACGAATGATTATTAACGTGAGATCACAGTCACACGCGGAGAGTACGCGACGCTAAAACGGGAGACAAATATATAAGAAGAGAGATATTTCTATTTTAAATATTACAGTATTATTTGTTCGTTTGTCTTTTCTCGTGCTATATATATATATATATTTTTTTTTTGTTAATATATATGTATATTGTATATTACGATAAGAGTGTCTTCTTGCTTTTTATTGTCTTCTTGAACCGCGCATCGATATAAATATACATATATGTATATCGAGGGCGTCTTTCCTTACATAGTTTCGTTCCTTTTCGTATCTTTTCTAGCCAGTCTGGAGAGGTGGGGAGGAGGGGTGGAGGAAAAAGGCGAAAAATGAAATCGCGAGTTTGATTTTTTATCAACATCGCGAATGTTAAGATCCCCTCAAGGAGTTTTCTATACTTCAATGTCTTTCTTTTCTTCTTCTTCTTCTTCTCGTTTATATTTCCTAAACTGTTAAGGAACAATAACATCTTTTCTAAACTTTCAACAGAACTTTGAATTTCAACTCAGTCCAACTTCACTGACTAGCTCCCTGCGGTTGTATGTATTCGTTACTCGTGGATTGCTGATCGTTTGGGAGAATTAAGGGAATGTCTATTAGGTATTCATTCAAGTAGGTATATACCACGAATGTAATATTTTCTCTTAACGTTTTCCCTTTTTGATCAATTCTCTAAGGAATGTCTATAGATGTATATTTGGGGATAAATTTGTCTCGAACTTGCACTATAAATTTTCCGTTAAGTGTCCATGTGTCGGTACTTGTGTGCTGACATTTGAGCCAAACCTAAGACCGCGTACTGACACTGCAAACAGTGGTAATGAGTTTGCTTGCCCGAGTGTTGACACTGCACGGCACCGCACGGCTGACTAGGCGTAAATTTCTGGAAACCCGCAGCCGCTATGCTGTCCAATTTTGCATGTTGACGCCTATGGGCAACTACCTTGTTCGTGTCGGTACAAACAAACTCGCATTTAAGGCAATGAAAATGCGAAGCTTTGTTTTGCATCGAACCGAGGGACGAAGTATACGCGCACTGAGCACGACCACAGGGTACGTTGGCCCTGTACTGTTGAAAATCACCACCCATTAGCGTGTCCAAACGCTCGTGCCTTGCCGTATGCTGAACGAAACGCGTCTTGTCGCAAAACGAGTAACCACAGTCTTGGCGCATGCAGTGGAAGTGAGTTTGATGTTCCCTGTAACCGCAATGCGTGTACCGGCAATCTTCGTTGAATCTGAACCTACAGGGAGAATCAAAGGAAAAAATCATTAAAAATCACACTTTTTCTGTTGAATATTCGGATATAATGGAAAGTACCAACCTAACGTATCCTTCGGGAACAGGCTCATCCTTGAGCATACGCATCGAATGATGAAGCCGTTGCTTCTTCGCTTCAGGCGAATTGCTGTCAGGCGGGGAAAGAGATCTTTTATTCAAATTAAGATTAGCCGCGAGAGAAGCCAAAGGATTTTCGTCCCTGGTTGGAGGAAGAAAATTGGTAGGTGGTAGGCCAGGTGCGAACATCAGCCCAGGTGCCCCGGTATACATGCCACCGTGTTGAAGAAACGGTGGTAGAGCTTGATTCATCAGAGCTATTTGTTGATTCATCGCTGCCATTACTGCTGGACTAGCGAAGTGAAAGCCGTGGCTAAAATCAAGCTCGAAACTAGGTGGTGGTCCCGGTGCCGGAGAATGTTGAACGTTTCCTGGCATCGACGGTTGCGGAGGCATCCGTTGATTGTTCTCATTGGTTTCTTGCACCGAATTAACAACTTCCTCTCTCTTAATCTCCGTTGGTTCCCTCTTAATATTCGGCATACTTTGTACACCGATATCCGTGGCGCATCTTGGACTCTCCAATTTGATCTCCTTCACCGGTGGTGTCTGTTGTTGGCTCATCTGTCCCAGAGTCTGCTGCATCTGCCTTTGCATCTGATTGTGAAAATTCTGAATGTTTTGGGCCATCTGAGCGTTTTGCGCCATGAAGTCTGGTTTCTGAGAAAGTTGCGTCAGATACTCGTGCTGCAGTTGATTGGATGACACCGAAGACGAGGACGAGGGGGACTGATTGGGTAGATCGTGTTGTTGTTGACTGAGGATAGCACCTGTCGAGTGCTTGGCTATGTGAGCGACCAATCGATCCAGTTCCGAGAACGCCTGATTGCAGGCATTGCAGTGATAGTGATTCTTACGTTTCAACTTGCAGAATGGTCTGCTGCAGCTTTGCTCGGGCCCGTAAAGCGTGTGGGATGAGGTAGATGTACCGGATGACGGTATGGTCGTGGACTCTGCAATGGGAACGAAGAGATTTTTAGTTAGTTCGCGGATTGACGAATTGCAAGTGGGGCAGGTCTAACTCGTAAATAAACTAATATGTCAAATCTCTAAGCACTAAACCTGGTCGAAGGGAGAACGAACCTTGGTGCACGGAAGCTCGCATGGATAGCACGACGCCCGGAAGTGCGGGTTCGCTCGGCGGTCCGCTGACCGGATAATAGGTGCCTGCCGCCCTCACCACTAGCAACAATCAACCAAACAACCAACACTTCAAATATACCTCCCACTAAAATTACAACCACCGTGTATAGAAAGAAAGATGGCAAACAGATAGGCAAAGAAACAAACTTACAAACAAACGAACTTACATACAAAAAAAATATCAAATGATAATAATACTAAATAAATTAGAATGAAAAAGGGGAAAGAAAGAGGTGTCTACTTTTCGAAAACGAGTGGACGAGTGCGAGACTTCAGCACGCACTCGTCGGTGCAATCTACGTGCAATATCAAAAAATAATATGTAATCAAAATAATAATAGTAATAATAATAATAATAATAATAACGATAATAATAATAATAATAATAATAATAATAATAATAATAATAATAATAATAATAATAATAATAATAATAATAATGAAGATAGAAAAAAAACAACATGCAAGTTTTGATTTTTCATTTTTTTCTTATTTCCTTTTTTCTTCAATCGACATAAGGTCTTTTTATATAAAAATGCTACTGAACGGGATCTATTTTATAAATATCTTTATTCTATGAAATATATATGAATAATCAAGGATAACCAGGTACAGTTTCGTATGCCCGCCTTGTGAATCAAAACTCACCGGTCGTCTTGTTAGCGTCCGAACTAGGAAGTTCGCTTTCTTTTTCATCTATCATTGATCTGCTCTCTTCCAAGCTGTCATCCGTTTTCTCTATAAGATCAGCAGGATTTTTCACCTGTATTCTTGGTTTTGTTTCTTGAACGAAAGTTTGAAGTTGAGTTTGACATTCTTTATTGGATGGTTCTTGAGTACAAACGTCGACGTGTCCAGAATGTTGTTTTTCGTGAAGAGCCATCGTCGAATATCGTACAAAAGAATATCCGCAATTAGGTCTAGTACAATGAAAGTGTCGATTCACTCGATTGCTATGACAACTCGATAACCGACAGTCTACCATTTTATCGAAAAAGGCAAATCCTGTTGGTATATCGACGTTGTCGTGAAAGTCTTTGCTATGCATCAACAGTTGATCGGGTCTATCGGTTGAGAAATGACACCGTGGTTGGGAACAATGATGATGCCTGGTCGATCGTAAAACGCAAGCGAGATCTGGACAACCTTCGGGATTGTACGTGGCGAATCCTTCCGGTTCACCGAGACTATTCGAAGGAGAAACACTACCTTCTCGATCATCGGTCACCGGAGTAGGTGTCAAACTCGGTGTTTGTGGTTTCGGTAACTTGAAGCTCGTAAAAATGGCTTGCGGAGAGTCGTGCGTGTGCGAGGCCGGATCTCCACCTGACCAAATCTCGATGACTCTGTTTTTCGGTGGTCTGCCTCTTTTCCGCCTGAACATGGCATCAATGTTGGTCAGATGGGTCAGCGTTACATCGGATGAAAGCGCGTGCGAGGGACAAGAGAGATTCAATTGTCTACTGTACTCGTGAATTTTGTAATGTTGAAGTCTTCGAAAGGGTTTATCCGTCGACAGGATGACCTCTCGACAATTTTCCCAATTACAATGATAATGTTTTTCTTTATCGGTGTACGGACAGGCATCGTCACAGCCACCTTCCTCGAAGAAGGCATCCGTGATACGTTCCTGAGTTTCATGTTCTCTCAAATGTTCCCTTACTTCGCGTGGATCCTTCAGAGTAGCACCGCACCGGTCCAACCCACAATGATGATGATCCCTACCTAACTGACAGGGGCATTCCGAATTCGCCGAAACGAGATAAGCTAATTCCGCCGGGGTGAGTTGTTGTTGCTGTTGCTGCTGTTGCTGCTGCTGCTGCTGTTGATGCTGTTGTTGTTGTTGATGATTCTGTTGTTGCTGTTGTTGTGGCTGTTGCTGTGGCTGTTGCTGTGGCTGTTGCTGTGGCTGTGGCTGTTGTGGTTGCTGCTGCTGCTGCTGCTGTTGTTCGAAGCTTACCACCGAACTGGTAGACGTCATGCTATTCGTAGGAGCGGTAAGATCCATTGCTAAATCGCTAGCACTTTGAAAGGAATCGTCCAACGAGTAATAGGATGGCGAACCTCTATCTTCATTAGAACTTTCCCCGTTAATACTAAGCGACAATCCTTGATTGCTTACTTCGTCCGGTGCCCAAGATCCTGGCGGCCTAATCCCACCAACGGCACTAACTTGTTTGTACCTTCGATAAGCCATCTCGGACTCGTGACGCTCGTGTTTTCGTTTATGAGAAAATAGCTGACCAGAGGAGTGCAGAACGTAACTGCATTGTGGTCGTATGCAATGTATGTGATTGCAGACACGCGAAAATCGACATTGCTCAAAGGGACAGGCTTCGGATTTCATAAATTTCTTGAATCCGTCTCGGGACAACTGCTCGTCCTTAATGTGATACGACTTGTGTTTATCTGAAAGTAAGGAACGATCAGTCATGGGCTAGCTTTTCAAATGAGAATATTATACGAATATTGTATGAATATTATATGAGAATATTATATCAGAGAATATAAGCCTTACCCATGTCAGCCTTATTTTTAAAAGTGTAACTACATCCAATCCGCCGACAGTGGAAGTGCGTCGTTCGTTGTCCGACGAAGGGGCAATGATCGGTGGCGCAACTTTCAGTGGCACGATATCTCTGAAAGCCCTCTTGAATGATCGCAGAATCCTTGCGATGATAATTCGCGTGCATTTGCACGTCCGAAGTCGATATGTAAACCTTGTCGCAATTTTCGTGTATGCAATGATAGTGTGTTTGCTTTCGATTATGCGGACAAGTTCGACCGGGATGCCTTTCCGAACAATCGTCCGTTGGCGAATATCGCATAAAACCATGTTGTAAGGATTCGTCTCTTTTTTTGTGCCACTTGAAATGCCTAATCATTTCCTCCTTCTTCACAAATACCCTACCACTACAATCGAGACAATGAAAATGTTCTCTACATCCTAATTCCTTGCAATAAGAGCTACCGCATTCCTGACCGGACGTATATCTCCTGACATATCGAGAGTAATCGATTATAGGCTGCGACACCGATGATTTCGCACCAGCGATCATGCTGTCCGCTACCGGTGACATGCTTTGCCTGAGCAGCGCTGAAACAGAGAAAGTAAAAGGAGCATAAACGCAATGTCTCTTTACCTTCTCAACGCCTTTATCTTATTCCATAAGTTTTAACGGTATTAACGTATCACTGCACGCGAACGCGAAAATTTATCGCGGCACACGTTGGACGTACGGTATCGAAAAAGAACAGGATAAAGAATAATCTCTGGTGACATTAAATAGAGACCGTTTATTTCGCATAAGTTCATTAGCACCACCAACTCTAAATTCTAAATATAACTTTTTAACACATCTCTCTTTTATAATATTATTTCGATAAAATAAACATGGAGAGAAGAAAAAGAAAAAGAAAAAAGATAACGAAAACTTGACTCTCATCGTTGCATTACATGACGACCGTGAAAACGAGATACTTATTTCATATTTCTTATCGGATGATGTAAGATTTGTCGAAAATAAGATATCTAGAGGAAAAAAGTAATGAAAAAATAACTAAACTCTTTTTACGGATAATTGAATAACTCAGAAACCTACTATATCGACGAACAAAATTCTACGCTACTCGTTCACGATAATGTAGATCGAATTATTTTGTAGAAAGATAAACGAATTTCCTGCTTTACCAACGAAGAATATAAACGAAATTCATCGGATATCATTCGTAATAGTTTTGCAAGGATCTCTTCGAGCGTATTTTCGACTACGCGGGACTTAGGATGATTTTGAAAGGTAAATCAAGAATTATGAGAGTCGTTCGTCGACCCATACGTTTCTCTGCACCCGAAAACTGGTCGAGCTGGGCTCAACAACACCACGACGATATAAAAGAGAAAAGAAGAAAAGAGAAATGGTGAAGAAGGGGTAGGAGGTGGAGGAGGTGGAGGAGGAGGAGGAAAAGAATAAAAAGAATAAGAAGAAAGAATGGTAGAGGCAAGCAAAAAACTATCGGTCGATCGCAATACGCGTATGCAAAAACCCGTGGCGTACCCGTTGGGCCCGTATACAAGGAAGGAGCATTTACCTTACTCCAACAGTGGAACTTTCATAGCTCTTAAAAGGCTCGAAGGTAAGTAAGTAGTAGTGGTAAGGCACGCAAGAAAATGCACCACGTAAAACACATTTCGTTCGTTGACCAATCATCGTACGTTGATAATTATCTCTCATTCTCTTTCCCTTTCTGTAAGGTAATCCAAGAAAGAGATGGGCTATAAATATAGCAGCCAGAACGTGGCTGGCTACTACTCATCTTTTTCTCTTTACTTTTTTCTTTTTTTTTTTTCTTTTATATACATTACTCAATAATATACAAGAATAAATTGCAAACTACACGTTTGCTCGCATTAATATATATATATATATGTTTTTTATTTATTTATTTATTGTTTTCTTCGTATCTTTTTCGTTCTTTTGAAGTAATGGCATTCATTAAACGTCATTTTTCATTTGGATACGTTTAAAATGATAGTCGAAGGATGATCAAGATTTGGACGATATTAAAATTTGTACGTTCTCTCTCTCTCTCTCTGGACGGCGATTAAATATTTTAATAATGAAACGGTAGCTTTATCAACGTAACACTTCCCGTCTATCGTTCACTTTCACCGCAAGAGTCATCCTGTCTGGTCGCGGTCGACCGATCAATTACGTTCTATCGATCGTGATTTACGTCGATCGCCTTCGGCTTGCCTCGATATCGAGGTCTATCAGAATCTTCGAATCTAAATCGAAGGTGTGCGAATTAAAGCGAATTAAAAACGGGTGGGGGGAGGTGGTAAAAGAAAAAAAAGAACTAAATTATTCATCATCGTCGTTTTCGTCCTCGTCATCATCATTATTATTATTATTATTATCATTCTTTCTAATTTATGAGAAGAATATATTATTTCAAAATAAATATACATAAACTCAAATTAAAAAATTCATTTTTCTATATCGTACCAATCGAAAATTATCGTAATACTTTTTTAGCGGGGATGGGGCGCCAAAAATAAATCCGCATTAATTATTTTTTTTCAATGTTAATTCGTAATTAACAAAATGTTTCGATCAAAAAATACATTATGCAGAAATATCGAAAATTAATTAAACAAATAATTTACTTTTAGATTAAATATATTCGCGTTATATCGAATGAATCATAAAATAGATTAAAAGAATATTGTTTTGATTCTCGATTGAGAGACTACTATTGTCGTAATTGATTAATGTTATACACGTAATACACGATCAAAAGAAAATAAACAAAAATAATTTTTATGAACCAATCGTTTTTCTTAGTAATAAAAATTAAATCGAAAAATATACGAGAGAAGAAAAAAAAGAAAAATAAGTCGAATAATTTAGAATAACTTTTCGTTTTATAGAACGCGATGAGATGGAGAAAGAAGGAAAAAGGGGGTAGGATGATGATATCGAATCCGACGCCCCCTTCACCCTCTCTCCCTTTCCCTCCCCCACCCCATGACAAAGTCGATTCCAAGAAATACCTATGCTACTTGTGCCAAGGCTCGCGCTCTCTTTGAATGCGTTCAGAAACGAGTTTAAAAATTGTCGAATATTTCTCGAGGGTTCTTCTTCGAGCAAAAGGGCTTCTTCCACCACGCGTGGTACATCGAGCAAAAGAGTAGAGGGCGAGGGGTGGAGGAGGGGGAGTGCTTGGCCTCTTCTACTCTCTTCTTCTTCTTCTTCTTCTCTTCCTCCTCCACCTCCTCCTCTCGCGGAGAAGGAACTTCTTATGTATTCTACGAGTATGCGCGTTCGTTCGTTCGTTCGCAAGAAGAAAAAAAGAAAACAAGGGAAAGAGAAAAAAAAACAAAAGAGATAAAAGAGAAAGAGTTCGCGAAAAGGGAGTGGAAATTCGAGAACGAGCGAAATATTCTCTTCGTACTATTATTAAACGTTAAAAACGAATATTGACATTTTTTCATTATTTTTTATTACATACAAATATATTTTTGTTGCTTTGATATATTTTATTCTTCATTTTGTATCGTTCATATGGATTATTATTATTATTCTAGAAATTTTGTTGATAAATTTTCCTTAAAAAAAATTATCCTTATAATATATTTAACGTATGATAATATTTCCAGGAAAAAATAATAATTTAAAGATATATTGTATGATATTAATTAAAAATATACTCGTGTGTGTAAATAATAAAACCAAATAAACGATCATTTGATTCATATCGATGAAAGAAAAATTCTCAACGAAACTCTTTCTTAATGTTTTTTCAAGGCCACCTAATTTCGTATTGGATGGGAAAGAGAGGTCGTGCCCACCCACATGGCCACGAAAAAGGAATTGCTACTGGCTAGAGGGAGAAGACGGACGAGGAAAACGTGACAGTGCTTAAAGGGCAAATCTTAAAAAATATGAGAAACTCGTGGGGAACAACGTGCACCGGTTCCGAGCATCTCTCTCTCTCTCTGTCTCTCACTCACTCTCACACACTCTCTGTTACTCTCATCTACCACCCCAGCGGGTATATTCAATACAGGCGGCTTTCAGTCCAACCCTTTATTCGTAGTTCTTAAAACTCGCTTCGAGAAGAGGAGGAGAATGAGGAGAAGGAGAAGGAGGGGGAGGAGGAGGAGGAGAAGGAGAAGGTGGAGGAGGGGGGGATGAACGGTCGATCTTGTTGCAAGGGGAAGAGAGAGAAAAAGGAAAAACACGTGTGTCCTGAGAGTGAGAGAGAGAGAGAGAGAGAGAGTGACAAGGGGGAGAGGAAGGGAGGTAAGGTAAGGTTTAAAATTTTCAAAAAGCCCGATCCTGAAAAGGCCCCGGATTTCAGACCAGGGTCTTTCCTTTTTTATCATTTAATCCGTGGACTCGGCTGAATAACCCTTTATATCGCAAACACGGGCTTACGAGTACGTTGGCCCTAACACACCCTGCAAACAGAGACGAATAAACCAAAGAACGAATATACGAACGAACGTATTAACGTGCATACGTGGACGTACGTTAAGAAGATTTTAATCGATTTTATTTAGATGGTATAAACTCGGTAAGACCGTCTCTCCAATTTCCCAAACGAGATTTTCTACAATACATCCCTTCTCTCACTCCCCCTCCTACCCCTCCCCCTTCTCTTCCTCATGATTTTCATCTAATCTCAATTGGATCTGGATGAGCTGGAAAATTACGTATCTTTCACCAATAATTCGATGAAAAATATTTCAATCGATTTTATGTCAATGTCTCGTTTAAGCGAAAATTTTTAATCTATCCTTTTTTTCTCACTCTCTCTCTCCCTCTCAGTTTCGTTCTTTTTCTTCCTTTTTCTCGAATGATATCGATGAAACAACACGTGCGTTGGATTATACCTAATAAAAAGGGTCAACGTAACGCATAAAACGAGTGTTTGGATAATACTCGCAACGGCAGTTGCATCATGTTCATCACGTCCTCGTAGTCGTCATACTCGTCGTCGTCGTCGTCGTCGTCGTCGTCGTAATTGTCATAGTAGTAGTAATAGTAGTCGTCATCGTCGTAGTGTCATTATGCGATAGAGTCGCTGTAACCACGATCGGTGCTTTCATTCGAGTTCTCTTTTTTATTTTCGAGAGGTTTAAACGTCAAGAAAGAAAAAAAAAACATAGAAACAGAAAGAGAGAAAATGAGAGAGAGAGAGTGAGTGAGTAAGAGTGAGTGAGTGAGTAAAAAAAGTTCTAACGGTGTATAACCCCTTCTTTTTTCTTCTTTTTTCTTCTCTTTCAATCTTCGTCCCTTAACGGGGAACCCTTTTCGATGGTACTCGTCACAATATTGTTTCCGGAAAAACGGCTCCGTGTGCACACGAAAGACTGACTGTTTGAGATAAAGAGAAAAAGAGAGAAAGAGAGAAAAAATATAGAGAGAGAGAGAGAAAGAGAAGGAACGAGTTAACCGTCCAGATGCGACTTAATGACCCAGAATCGACGTTACGCCGTTACTATACACTACTACTACTATTATACAACTACTATATTACTACCAGCTATAACTAGTAATACTAATACTAATACATACTACTACCTAAAAC